TTAATGCCTTTGTATAATAGTATGTACCAACAATTTGTGTATCTTATTAGAAAACATACACTTATTTTACATAACCATTAAATTAATACATAGATACTCATAAACTCAACTATAATAATTAATAARGTTTTGAATATAAGTACGATTGGTTTAAATTTATAGCTTTGATTGTACCTAAACATTTAAGGATAGTAGATGAAGAAATAAAAATATCCCAAGATTTATAAGTTATATTAAATGTCATATTATAATTATGCGAAGATAAAAATTATGATGTTGAAAATATTAGAACACGTTTGTTATCAGATCCAAACAACATAAGTAGGTATGACAATTCTTATAAGCCTGAGACAAGTCACTTTACGACAAATGAAAAATAAAGATTAACCATACACATAATACCGTAATATATTTAATACATTCTATAATATCCGAATGGAAAATTAAAAAAATAACTACTGAATTCGGACAGCATCATTTTGTTTTTGAATATCAATCGTTTTTATAAAGTCTACCGACAAAAAAACGGCAAATCGAGATTGAAACGTACCTTTGTGTCCAATGTAATAACGCAAATAAAATTCACCAGCCATTTTTGAGCTACAGATTCTTCAAATGTTCAAATCCTCGATAAATAAGAATTCTTATTTAAAAATCGAACGAAACAATATTAACAACAAACACGAGTTTGTTTSATTCAGATAGTGTTTTGTGTTTGTTAAGTTTGTTTGGTATCATAAAATTGTCCGTGGAATACTCAAAAACGCCGAAAACCAGCAAGCTGCCGTGGTCACCCGAGATACCAGTCACCAGATACCAGAGTACAACATAAGATACGGAGATGAACAGTGCTGCCGGCAGCGAGAGCGCTCGATTTCCCGCCGCAGCCTTCGCCAGCGCAACGAATGAGCGTCGCGCGCGCGGATGGGCTGATCGATATGGCGCTCTCGCGTTTCCTCCATGCCGGTGCACGGCCTACGATTGGCGGCACCGTTCATAGACACTCGCACACTCTCGAACACTCACACACACAAACACACGACTACACGTCAAGACGCACACCGTCAGACCGAGACGCCATCTTATGGCCAAAGTGTGTTTATTTGTGTTGGACCGACGTACGTGACGGATACGGTCAGCGTGATGGTGGCGGAAGCGTTCGGGAAAGTAGCGTAAAATCGTCTTCGGGCCAGTTGGTGCACCATCGTCCATCACGGTCGCATCTCTAGAAAATAGTTTTGCCTATAACGCGTTATTTCGTTCGTGGTGGTGGTGGTCGTCGTCGTCGTATTTATCCTTCGTTTTTATTTTTTATTCATCGTCCTCACCCCGAAAAATGTCGCGATTATCACTGCCGTCCGTGTTCCGATCATCGCCATTCCGGTCGTCGGTTCGGTAGAGGCGTCGCTATTATAATATATCGTCGTTCGCTACTGTGTGTCGTGTTGCGCGCTAGCCTGGTGCGACCGTGTCCGTCGTTGGTGCAGTTTTAGTGCAGTGTATTTTAGTGGTTTCCGTGCGCGTTCCGACGTCTTCGAATCGGTCCGACATGGAACTGCGGTTGCACAGCCCCGTGGGYGCCGATCCCGTCGTTTACAAATGGCCCATGATCATAGGCAGAGGATCGGTGAGTAACGGCATTGATAACATTGCGCGCGGTGTAAACGGCGGTAACGCTGCTGCTGCTGCTGCTGCTGCTGCTGCTGTCGTCGGGGACGGGGCTATGCCGTCATCGAGAGTTAATCTTCTTGAGGAGGGAAGGGGGGAACGATTATACCGTCTTCGTTGCACACACCAATATTCGTGGTCAACGATATACCGTGACGATGAAATCGCGACTGATCCGTAATAATGTCGATTCGTGTGTTGTGATGGCGGTCAATGAACTCTGTTGTACACGTCCCGATAGAGATATWTTGTTGGTGTGTGTGTGTGTAATTTACTATTCGACGTGATGATTATAATAATATTATCATCCGTTCGGATATCATTTGATGTTCCTATTCGATTTTATTATTTTCCAATCGATTTTTCCTTTGCGCCCGCGTGTGTGTACTTGGTGCATTATATTGTTGGTAAAAACTCGGAGGTATACGAGACAACTTCTGGGTTTAATAAATTGTAATGATAACTACGTTTGGTACGCAGTGTTAACAGTCCCACTGCGAAAACCCACACACGTAGGTGATAAATCGATAATAATYGATAGGTACTAGGACTATTTTAGGACAGTTTGAACGTTATTAAAACACACTACCTTCTAGGTAATGTTATTATCGTAACGTAATGGGTTATGACGTTTGTGTTGTTAGTTGAATCACAGGTCGTTAATATTTAATGTTAGCAAAAYAGGTATTGAACAATTCTAGGATGGTTTTTGTGTTGTTTTTTTTTGTGTGTGTGTGCGGAGGGTCTTATAACTTCTGATTGTATGCCATAATCATTTCAGAAACCAATAGCGCAATTAATAGGTATTAATAAATTACAGATATTAACGATGGTATTCTTTTGTTTTAGGACAAACACGATGGTGCACTGGGAATCATAGAAACAATAAAGTGAGTAATAAAGTAGCAACTGATTTTTACCTAGATAACTTGCGATTTTATTTGTATACGTGAGCAGACATTATTTGTCAACTGTTAAATGTTTGTAACAGTTAGCAGCCATTTGTGTAATGTAAAAGGTTTTGATGATATTCTTTTTTTAGTATTGTCAAATATTTATTACTATGAACTTACATATTATAGTATATTATACAGATAAAATATTGTTTTAACATTACATATTTGCATGTTAAGTTATGCAAAAGCTTGCAATAATATTTAAAAATTGCACTAGAACGTGCCCCTTTTAATTGTCAGATAATCAAAGTAAAATATTTAAATTTTAAACCTGTAGTGTTGTTTCAATTACATACCGATCATAAAAATAGTATTTTAAAGTTTATTTCCATATTTATTTATTACTTAATCATAACTCGGCCGTAAATATTATAATATTTTAAATATATCATTGATATGCTATCATAATAAAATGAATACAACCCATTAGGTCTTGATATTTTTAACACAAATTTAATATTAACATGATATGTATAGATGTTTTAAAGTGGCTACTGTAAACATTTATCGACAATAAGGCATCAATTTAGTAACGTACTGCAGAATTTAGTAGAATATTATCAGAATTATATGTATGTTTGGTACCTACCGRCTCATAATACCTATATTATTATCACTTGTTTTATAACATTTCTTTCGTTGTGGTATTTAATAAAACAAGTAGATGTATACAATATAATATATACCAATAGGCAATAACATATTACTTTAAAATGTGTCAGATMATTCCAAGTATATCGATTATACTCAGTATCATATAGTTGCAATTTTTAATAATGAAATGTTACTACTTCAGCGCATACCACCCTACCACAAACCATATAAAATGTAATAATAATATAGACCAGAAACAACCCTTGGTCTTAGATTTACATTTTATTAAATGATATAATTATTTTAATTAATAGTCATAAATAGACAGACTTCACAGATTTCTGATACGTTGTCCTTGAGCAAGATAATTTTACTCACCATAAATAATTTTGGTGAAGTCGCACTTCCTGTCTAATATTTYCGTGTGTTTTGTAAAATTTTGAAAAATGTGTACAAGGATAATAATTTTTTCAATGTCCGGCCGCTGGGAGTAATTTATTGTTGTCCGTATAGGAACGGTATGAAGGAGATCATTACCGATTTATTACAGACACAGGCTAGCAGTTTAGGAGGCCACAAACCGGTTGTATCATCGGTTTAACGAACTCTGTCATAGCTGTTGCTATTATGATCCATCCCGTGTGACGATGGCATTTATATTTTCGCTGATCATTGTCGTTTAATATTATAATATTATTATTTTCATCGTGCATGTCTTAACCGTTAATGATTTAATGTAAGTACGTAGCGAGGTACGTAGATATTGACAATTGTTGATAATAGTGAAACATATTTTTATATCCTGTGACGGATTATAATTTGTATATTTCTATRGGATATAAGTAGTCCAATAGAACATTTCTTCATCGACCAGTTGGGGGTCGACCTTTATAATATTTACGACCCTTACCCCCAAGACCGATTATACCTACAACTATAACAATTCGCATTCCAATTGTCTGTTAACCCAATACAAATATTACAGTATGATAATATGTTCTGACTGAAAAAAATATTGTGTTATTGAACACGTATGTCGCTGTATTTCGTAAAATAAATAATAAAATATACAAGGTACGAACAAAAATTACGTGTTGGTCTCTGGACACGCTGTGGGTGAAAAGGAGAAATACGCTCAAGGCACTACAATAGCACAGCGCATGCATTATTCGGTATAACAAAAGAGGAAGAAGACCAAAAAAAATTCAAAACGAAGAAGAAACCTTGGTCGGAAAACAACCGGTGCTGATGCATTTTGATATTATTTTGCTCCGCCCAGTTCGCTTTTTAACCGGTACTACTATATAGTATTATGTTATTTTTTCTACCCGTTTTCGAAGCGTACAAAAGACGTTTCTTCGACGTCATCGCGCGCGCTTCGTGTTTCCTTCTTGGCGCGCGTCGTTCGATCGTTTTGCCGGCTGGCCGGGCAGGAGAGCGATGACCGTGGTTGCTCGGGGCCAATAACACTGCTGGCATCTTTCAAGGACACGGTTTGGCGGTAACCCCCTGATCAACCGGGTTAGTGAATAAAAATACGAGATTCCTATTGTCTGGACGACAAAAAAATTTTGCTTATATATTATTATACTACTGTGGGTGGTTTTGCATTTTGACTGGTTTTTTTTGTTTTGGCGGGCACACTTTGAACTTGAACCAGAATAGTCTGTCCCGCGTTCTTTTGCCTATTAGTTGTTTGTATGCATTCGAATTATATCATTTTCACAACGTCTACGATTGTTGCATGTATATTGTAGGTGTATTGTACGTCATTTTCACTATTCTTTCTGACCAGTTGAAATTATTTACTATTTCATTAACTGAATTRTTATTAAAATAACTATTGCATTCACGGATTCATTAAATAATTATTTGTACAACAATAACGAACGTTGTTTCATATAACTAATGTGTGCCGAAGGACCTAACTAAAATGTATACATTTCTGAACTAAACCAACTAAATATTATACTTCCTCAGACGTAATTATTACGAATAACCTCGACCACCTACGTGAGTAGCGGTCGTCACGTGCAGTTTTACTTGATTAGGTTTATTTTAATTTTATTCTGAAAATCAAATATTCTATAAACGCCTATTAATGAAGTTTATTTTATACATATTTTTTTCAATAACTGTGTATGAAAAAAAATATATAAATAAAATACTAGTCGGGATACATGTTATGTTAAGGTTAGTCACATTTATTGTACGATATTGATTAACTTCGGGATTACTTGGTTTCTTGTTGTGAAAATGTTTTTAAAAATATTCATTCCTTTATTTATACATTTAATACATATTATGATTTAGTACATTGATATTCCTACTATCATATAACTAATACTCACGTTTTCTCTAGCAATAATCTTACCTTATAGTTATTTTGAAAAATATGATAAAATTCAATTATTTGTTTAAATATAAAAATTTAGACGCTAATTATGTAATGTATTCAAAGGTAATTTATCCTAAAAATGTCTGTTCAGTTAAGTGTTTTGTGTTCCAAAACTGGCAAAACTGATTTGTATAAATTGTAGTCATCGTATAAAAATGACTAAGAAAAGCGTAAAGAAATTGATTATTTAATGTTCCCGTCGTTGAAAATGTAGTTAAATCTTAAACTAATATAATATCAAACATATTTACAAGATTTTCTGTTGATCTGACACGAAGAAATTAATTCAATTACTAATAAATAAAAACTAAAAACATTATGGCAATATAATTATATTAGGTAKAATTATACAATATTTYCCATACATCATTATTAGGATATAATGAAGCTATATGAAAATTGTATTTAGTTATGTTTATTTCTAATTAGATTAAAGATTTGTCTCTTAATATCATAATTATATACATATCTATAGTAAATATGTACGAATGGCTACAGTTTGAAGACTAAACATAAGTGTTGTATAAATACTAAATGTTGTTAGACGTGCAATGCAAATTCGTAATTTTAAATTTCAACACATTATTTACTTTTGTACCTACCTTATCCATTTATTATAGTTATAATTGAAATTATAATAACTATTTAATTAGGTTCCTATAAATGTCTATTAATTATAATGTACCAAATTTAATACAAGAGTAAAAGTATTGAGTAGGTGCACACAAAATATTGAAATTAATTATAAATCTTCTAGTACCTACTGAATCAAAATCAAAATAAAAGATTTGATATTTTGTACATTTTTGTATTCGTATCGTTATAGCTGGTATAGTTATAGGTACAATCCAGCATTTCAATGTATCTTCATTCTACATACAGTATGTATATATTTATCTAATTTATTAACATTAATTTCGTTAATAGTTTCATTTGGTATAGTTATTTATAACAAAGTGAAATTCTTAGTTATTGAAAACAAAACACTTATTTTAAAAACTGTACCTTCCTATACTTATTTAATTTMAACATGTTCTTATGACTGTTATTACATCAACAGTATTATTGATCTTTTGAATTTTTTTTATAATTAAGTGCCTGTAGGTATTTAACCATAACTTCCTAGTCTTCGTATTCAAATTAAATGAATATATTTGTTTTCTTTTATCATTAAACCATAATAATTCTTCATCACGTCAACAATTGTAAATGTAGGTCAAACATTTTATGTATGGTAAATAGCGTAAAACTGATAGATGTATATTTAAAATAATAAAAAGATAAACTATTATTATTTCGTGTGTATACAATTCACGTAGGCTTAATTCTCTATGGTTTCGACTAGGCAAGGATAAATTATCTAATATAATTACTTTGTATTATCTTATATTTCATATTTATTTAAGTTAGGTATATACTATCATTATTTATTTTTGTATAATATTTACCTGCATAAACAATAGGTAATTATTTAATATTAACTTATCATTAGATATGGTAACTATTTGGAATATTTTCCATGGCAAATGTAATCCTTTTTAACAGCAAAGGACATATGGGGTGTTTTCTCGTGGACTCTATAGTCTTCGGGTCTACTCGTCTACTAGCAGGTTGATTTTTTTCTACTCATACGATTTTTAACAAAATATAAAAATATAAATATGATAAAGATAATATTAAAACAGCAGTGAATATTATTTATTGTTAAACGTGTTCCTATTTTAACCTATTATTTGAACGTTTCGTAAAATATAATGTGGATAGGCAGATGTTATATTAAATTTATTTGTGATAGTTTACTATAATATAGTATAATGTTAATGACTTGTATAAGTTGTGCATTTTTTTCAACTTTATTACATATTATATATGGCGGTAGTAATAGATGTTTTAAAAAAACTATTTTTATAGTGAACTAAAATCTTCATAGCTGTCTATAATA